GCCTGCCCGACCAACACGAGGCCTACCCGACCAACACGAGGCCTACCCGACCAACACGAGACCTGCCCGACCAACACGAGGCCTGCCCGACCAACACGAGGCCTGCCCGACCAACACGAGGCCTGCCCGACCAACACGAGGCCTGTACGACCAACACGAGGCCTGTACGACCAACACGAGGCCTGCCCGACCAACACGAGGGCTGTACGACCAACACGAGGCCTGCCCGACCAACACGAGGGCTGCCCGACCAACACGAGGCCTGCCCGACCAACACGAGGCCTGCCCGACCAACACGAGGGCTGCCCGACCAACACGAGGCCTGCCCGACCAACACGAGGCCTGCCCGACCAACATGAGGCCTGCCCGACCAACACGAGGCCTGCCCGACCAACACGAGGCCTGCCCGACCAACACGAGGCCTGCCCGACCAACACGAGGCCTGCCCGACCAACACGAGGCCTACCCGACCAACACGAGGCCTGTACGACCAACACGAGGCCTGCCCGACCAACACGAGGCCTGACCTCCAGCCACGGTGTATGCTAGCCATCACAGTTATGCCAAACATTATAGTATGCATGTGTAACGTGTTAAACTGAACAGGAGAAACATGAATGTTTGTTTGCAATTAGCCCATTAGTATCAATGCAATATTCATGAATGTAAATTAAGTTTCAAGCTAAAAGCTTTTATTCATAAACTAGCTGTACCCGCCCACGCGTTGCTGTGGGTCAGTAACCTTCCCCCTGTCTCCTCGTCCTCCCGAAACTCTCCCACTCCCGTCCCCTTGTCCTCCCAACCATTCCCCACTCCCTCGTTCGATGCATTCCCAAATGATCCGATGACCTCATCAGAAAATTAAGAACATCAAATGATCTAATGTTCCCATCACCTGAAATATAAGAAAAACATAAAAAATGAAATGAAAAACAATGAAAAAATACAAAAATAAACTATACTCAGGAAATGAACGGTATGGTAAACAACACAGCTCAATTTCAATGCAATGTCACACAAAATAAAGTAAATCAAAATGAAAATAAATCGAAATTTATGAAAATTAAGTTTATCAATGCAATCGGAAACATTGAAATGAAATCGTAACATATTTAGTATAGCGTGTGTTGCTATTACGTTCAACAGATGGCGCTGTTTAAAAAAAAAAAAAACATGTTTTTACATGTTACAGGTGTGGCACCTATATAGTCGGTATATAAAAACACACGCGTATTCGAATGGAACGTTGCATCAAATTTTCAAAGCAATCGATGAAGAACTTTCGGAGATTTCAGCGTGTGTTGCTTTTACGTCCAACAGATGGCGCTGTTTTTTTTGTTTAAACATGTTTTTTTCTATCACAGGTGTGGCATGCATATAGGAGGTATGTCACAGGTGTGGCATGCATATAGGAGGTATGTCACAGGTGTGGCATGCATATAGGAGGTATGTCACAGGTGTGGCATGCATATAGGAGGTATGTCACAGGTGTGGCATGCATATAGGAGGTATATCAAATAAAAACACGCGCCTATTCGAATGCAACGCTGTGTCAAAATTTCAAAGCAATCGGTAAAGAGGTTTCAAAGATTTCCCTCCCATGAAAAATCACATGAAAAAATACAATTTAAAAAAAAATCATGTATTTTCCCATAACAGACGTGACATCTATATATGTATATATAAACCCGCTCGGATGCGAAATGAACTTTGTGTGAAAATTTCAAAACAATTGGTGAAGAACTTTCTGAGATTAGCGATTTTGAACAAACGAACTTTAATATTTGTATTTATATAGATAGTTGAATCAATAATGACTTAACTTTCAAAGTTTCAAGCACACTATTTACACAGAAACAAATTAAAGATTAATAGGTAATGAAAGCCTTGATCATTATCAAGGCATATGGGGGGGACCTTCGACAAGCCGCCGGCTTCCTGTTCTCGTCGAGGCCACTAGTTTTAGTTGCCCTTAGACAAATTCAGGTAAATTATAATCGTAAAATTGCGACCCACGACCTCGGATAGCCTGGCTGAACACACAGACCGCTGTCATTTTCTATTTCAGTGTCTAATGAGATAGCGTAGCACCCAAACATGGTGCTGTGTTGGTTATAAGGCCTATCATCCTCTTGAAGGATTATTAAAGCCTTCACAATGGCTTAGTGACCAGTCGTCAAGTATACTTTAGTCCTGGACAAAAGGAAAATAATGTATATAGACCAAGAAGCGGGGTCACCTCTCCGTGTTTTTATGAATACTTGAATAATATTTAGCAACCTGTCCTGCAAAGAACGTCGCTTTCCGATCGTATGCGTTAAATAATGCCAAAAATTGTTGTGCTAGAAAATGCAAGCGACTCGCGAAAGTGGTATACTGTCCCGTTTTCTGTTTCAGGTCCTCTGGTAGGGAACGTACGTTCCTCTAACGTACAAAATATGTACTATCGTACGCAACAAAGTTAATGTGTCGTAAGACTGTGATTCAAAAGGGCGTATAACAAACACTGAAATGGCCTAACATAAATCTAACCAAAAATTTCCTCGGCTAACATACGCAATCTTAGGCCCAAATTAGTACCTATCTGTACTCTATTAGACCTTGGAAGAATTAACTTTGTTGCCTTTTTCTCAGGCCCTCAACAAAATTAATGGGGACAAAATGGACTTATTTTGGATATAACTGTGTATATTGTGTACAGGCCACCCATTGTTGCAATAGGTACTGTCACTGATGGATAGTTCCATCCATTATTGCGACAGGACTGGATGGGGTTACTAGGCTATGAATCCCTCCTAAAATATTATTAATAGTAGTCTTCGAAGAGATAATTTATATTTAACGCCAAGTTCTGCTTCTACCACATTTTTTTATAGCTGTCATTAATAATATTTAAGGCCTATAGCAAATAACACATACAGCACAAGGCACACATTACGTACAGCACGTACAGTATATGATGACAACATAATACTTACGGCTTATAACACCTAAATCGTATAAAACCTATACCATATGACATCTACATCATACAACCCCTACTGTATATGACACCTACAACCTACATCATATGACATGTACATCATACAACACCTACATCATACAACACCTACATCATACGACACCTACAGTAAATCACACGACACTACGTCATATGACATCATAAAATGTTATCTATACTTCCCTATGATATATGACCTCACGCAGACATGCCATGCCCCACGCATCGTGCGTGAGGCTAACCAACTACCATGGGCTGTCACTCACATATACCCAGCGTGCTGTGAGTAACCATACAAAATCAATCATATTTTTACTCAGATTCTTGAGGAGACACATGTAACCGGGACTTAGGATACGGTGTAAGCTTGAAATGCTACTTTTCAAGTTTGTATGCTGTGGTAACTCTGTTTTAAACTGTAACCTAACCTAAGCCGCTTTCCAAGCTTAGAAAGTTTGGAAAGCTTTCCAAGCTTCTGTAGTAACGCTGTCTTAAACTATGATCTAAGGCGCTTTTTAAGCTTGTGTTGTGGGCTGACCCTCTCTTCAAGGCATGACATACAGGTTTCTACATTTGTCTGTGGTAAGCTAGTTTTAAGGAGCATCCTTCAGTGCTGCTGCCGACATTTTCATCTTAATGAGAAACCAACCAAGGGTTGACTCTCCTTAATGAGAAACCAACCAAGGGTTGACTCTCCTTAATGAGAAACCAGCCAAGGGTTGACTCGCCTTAATGAGAAACCAACCAAGGGTTGACTCTCCTTAATGAGAAACCAACCAAGGGTTGACTCTCCTTAATGAGAAACCAACCAAGGGTTGACTCTCCTTAATGAGAAACCAGCCAAGGGTTGACTCTCCTTAATGAGAAACCAGCCAAGGGTTGACTCTCCTTAATGAGAAACCAACCAAGGGTTGACTCTCCTTAATGAGAAACCAACCAAGGGTTGACTTGCCTTAATGAGAAACCAACCAAGGGTTGACTCTCCTTAATGAGAAACCAGCCAAGGGTTGACTCTCCTTAATGAGAAACCAACCAAGGGTTGACTCGCCTTAATGAGAAACCAACCAAGGGTTGACTCTCCTTAATGAGAAACCAGCCAAGGGTTGACTCGCCTTAATGAGAAACCAACCAAGGGTTGACTCGCCTTAATGAGAAACCAACCAAGGGTTGACTCTCCTTAATGAGAAACCAACCAAGGGTTGACTCGCCTTAATGAGAAACCAACCAAGGGTTGACTCGCCTTAATGAGAAACCAACCAAGGGTTGACTCGCCTTAATGAGAAACCAACCAAGGGTTGACTCGCCTTAATGAGAAACCAACCAAGGGTTGACTCTCCTTAATGAGAAACCAACCAAGGGTTGACTCGCCTTAAGAGATATGTAACAGATAGCCTAGTATTAAAAACTGACGTTAGGAGACAAGAGTAAAAATATTAGAGCTCATGGCTTTGCCGCCAATATGTCACAAACATCTTCCTTTAATCCTCAGTGCAATCATTGATTAAAGAAACAAATAAACGCAAATAAATCAAGTCTCCTTTAATCCCTGCGGGTAATGATAAACTCTTCAAACAATTACAGATATATGATACGGCGGGTTTCTGGCATATTCTGTAATTATTTTGAGCAATATACAACTGATTTCTCACTATACAATCAACACTAAAGAGTGATTATTTAATGTGACGAAATATTTATGTGCTTATACTATTCAATATATTAAATTAATATCCAAATCGTCAATACTGTAATTATCGTTTGAACTTTGTAGTGTTCATTTATTTAAATATATTTATAAATGTTTTTATATAGTTTAAGCAGTGACAACCTGTGGATATACTAACACACAACAGCAGTTCCCAAAGAAATTTTATATTTAAATATTTGCCACCATTTTGCGTCCGGAAACATTTGTATTGAACTGAAAATACATAAAAAAAAGGAAATAACAGATCTTAACTACATAAGACACACAATTATATATTTCCCATACTATTAGCGCTAAATTTCAAGTGTATTGCAATAAAAATAAATCATCTTACTTAACTTTGGAAATAATTATAAAGAATTTGAGGAGTCAAGAAATTGGCGCCTCAGTGACCCAACGGCCGCCGTCGCGACCACACCGCGTCGGGCTCCGTCCCGCCCTCGTCACGCCCACGTCACGCCCACGCCGCCCACGTCACGCCCACGTCACGCCCACGCCGCCCTCGTCACGCCCACGCCCACGTCGTCACGTCACAATGGGGTTATTTCCCTCCAAAAGCAGGACCGAGGTAGAGATGAAGCAGGAGAACGTGGAGGAGCTGGGCCAGGCCCGTGTGGGCCAGTTACTCATGGCCTTGGTGAGTACTGCCTCCTTACTCATGGCCTTGGTGAGTACTGCCTCCTTACTCATGGCCTTGGTGAGTACTACCTCCTTACTCATGGCCTTGGTGAGTACTGCCTCCTTACTCATGGCCTTGGTGAGTACTGCCTCCTTACTCATGGCCTTGGTGAGTACTGCCTCCTTACTCATGGCCTTGGTGAGTACTGCCTCCTTACTCCTGGCCTTGGTGAGTACTGCCTCCTTACTCATGGTGTTGGTGAGTACTGCCTCCTTACTCATGGCCTTGGTGAGTACTTCCTCCTTACTCATGGCCTTGGTGAGTACTGCCTCCTTACTCATGGCCTTGGTGAGTACTTCCTCCTTACTCATGGCCTTGGTGAGTACTGCCTCCTTACTCATGGCCTTGGTGAGTACTGCCTCCTTACTCATGGCCTTGGTGAGTACTGCCTCCTTACTCATGGCCTTGGTGAGTACTTCCTCCTTACTCATGGCCTTGGTGAGTACTGCCTCCTTACTCATGGCCTTGGTGAGTACTTCCTCCTTACTCATGGCCTTGGTGAGTACTGCCTCCTTACTCATGGCCTTGGTGAGTACTGCCTCCTTACTCATGGCCTTGGTGAGTACTGCCTCCTTACTCATGGCCTTGGTGAGTACTTCCTCCTTACTCATGGCCTTGGTGAGTACTGCCTCCTTACTCATGGCCTTGGTGAGTACTACCTCCTTACTCATGGCCTTGGTGAGTACTGCCTCCTTACTCATGGCCTTGGTGAGTACTGCCTCCTTACTCATGGCCTTGGTGAGTACTGCCTCCTTACTCCTGGCCTTGGTGAGTACTTCCTCCTTACTCGTGGTGTTGGTGAGTACTACCTCCTTATTCATGGTGTGGGCTGAGTACTTCCTCCTTACTCGTGGTGTTGGTGAGTACTACCTCCTTATTCATGGTGTTGGCTGAGTACTTCCTCCTTACTCATGGTGTTGGGTGAGTACTACACGCTCTTAACGCTTCCTTACTCATAGAGTTTGGTGAGTAACACGCGCCTCCTTACTCGTGGTGTTTGATGAGTAATACACGCCCTTAACGCCTCATCACTTTTGGTGTTTGGTGAGTAACTGTCAGGGTGCCCCAACTTGTCATTCAAATATAGTACCTATTGCGACTGTGAATGCATTCTACAAAATACGGATTTTCGCACACCAAAAATAATAATGAATTCCATATTTTGTATTAATTTTTATAGATGACCCTAATAAAAGGCAATATCCAAATCTAACTCTTAGTATAGGGCCTAGTATAGTACATGTATGTTCTAATTTTGGCCTAAGATTTTAAGATAAGACAAGGTTTTTATTTAAGATTTATTTAAGATCTTATAGATAAGATAAGATTTTTAAGATAAGACAAACTTTTATTTGGCGTAGGATTCTTTATTTCGGCCTGTAAACTGTTAGGTGTCGACCTAGTTTCAGTTTTTGTTATGAACTTTTGGAATATATGAAAAGCTCAAAACGTAGAATGTTTTCAACACTCCGTCCACAGTAGCAATAGGTACTGTCATTTGTGGGGGATGGGATATCCCAACCCATCCTAATGAAGTACCTATTGAAACTACTTGGACGAACGTCCAAAATTGGACTGTTGCGGCTAACACTGTTCACGTTTTGTACTACTAATTCTGTAGAGTGTAGAGGGGCATAAACAAAACCTTCTAGGCCTAGTATGGCATATATATGTCCAGTATTAGGCCTAGGGTAGGGTATATTAAGCCTAGTGCTGTTTGGACAAGTAAGGTGAGGCTTGACTGTTCAGTTTCCATTTTTTTTAGTTTACCATTTGGGCTAATTCAGTAATATAAAATGTGAACTTTTAATGGTGCAGTCATTTCATGCATTTGACCAAACAGTTCATTTAAGTACTATCTTATGAGGATATATGTATGTATGTATGTAGTGTACTGCGACAACCACTCTACTTGCAGGGCCTATGTAGAATTCCTGTTGGTCCAAACAGATGGACACTGCTCCTTAATTGTCTTCATATCCCAGCTCTTATTCGGCCCTTATATCTCTTTCAAGTCCTATATAAGTCTGGCTTAGCGCTTTCTCATAATAATTACCCTATCGTAGATTAATAACTAAATAATATAGCTAATATGTCCATCAGAAGTATGTTTTCTTGAAATTATATTAATTGTTCTTTTTTAACTATAAAATTAATATGAAGTATACAACTACAAGTATCGTACGCATAACCCCACAATACAAAAATAATTAAAGTATGTTGACTAAATATTGACCAGTTGTAATAGCCTCTATAAAATCTAGCAAAACATGTTGACTGCTTGATGTTAAGTTAATAATAGCCTTTCGATGCAAAATAGAAATTATTAACTGCATAATGCTGAGTTATAGTAGCCACTTTACAAAACATAAGGAACTGGTTACCTGCTTGGCTTTGACAATTTATAATAGTCATCAGTGCAGAAACGAATATGATTAAACAGATTGGTCGCTTAGTGTTAAGTTAAAAAAAACATTTGTTGCAATCTGTTTGGAAGACATTATACCTCACCCGGTCCTTGTCCTACGAGTGAGCAACGGCATCGTTACCTGGGATAACTAAAGGTTATCTTGAGATGATTTCGGGGCTTAATGTCCCCGCGGCCCGGTCCTCGACCAGGCCTACTTTTTGTTACACATCCCCAGGAAGCAGCCCGTAGCAGCTGTCTTAACTCCCAGGTACCTATTTCCCGGAACCTTAGGACTATGAACCCCGAGCGCTGTCCACTCAGCTGTCAGGCCCCAAACCTGATGCTTCAGGGTTCGGGAAACTTTTTATCAGACATGGCCCGCTGCGGTAGCAGTCCCTTGAACCATTCACTGGTAGGTAGATGTCTGACTTTTGCACGCCCTAGTTATCGTTAAACTGCTACTTTGTTATTTTTATTTGCATCTCATCTTACCAAGTCGTAAAGTGCCAATTAAGACTACAGGCCAGCGATGAATCTCCTAAAGAGGTATAATCATCCGTCTGCTCTGTACTTAATAATTACTGCTTCAGTGGAGGCTGTGTTCCATCCTCGAAATATTTGCTTTCATTTTTCAGGTTATTGAAGATTAATTATTCAGTCATTGCAAAGGATATCCATGAGTTAATAAGGAAGTGAAACAGGATTATATGATAGCCTGTAGTGTTGATAAATCTGTTATCCCATACAGAGGTCTAAACAAAAATAATGTCACCCTGTTTAAAAATTGTATTCATTTTTTTTTTCAAATTTATTAAAAAAAATTGCATTCAAATGATACCAAACTAAGTACGAACACTTGAACAAAATATCCACAAATAGGAAGCACATAGTTGTACGATGTATTAGGATTAGTGTATGCGTGGAATTAAAATTATATAAAGACGACTCAAATTTTCAGGTGTGGATTTTGCAGTTGTAATTCTTAATTCCAGTCAATTCAACAGTTGGGGGTAGAAATAGCCTAAGTTACTAAATCCCTTTGAGATGTATTTTTTTCTTGTCTCAAACATACTTGAACTTGAATTCAACAGTATTAACCGTTTAACTCTGCTATACTTGCTGCTCTTCAGTGTACTGTATACTAAAACTTCGCATTCAAAAACTATCGATATATTCACAGTCCTCGCCATCAAAGCATTTCAGAATAAAATCTTGTATATATTCCCAGATCACTACGCTAACCACTTGGACTGGTCGGTACAGCGACGACCTCGCGTTTTGCTGGTTGGCGTACGTATCTCGACGGTCCAAGAGGTTAGACAACATTCCTCCACTCCGTCATTATATCCCAGCTCGTATCCTGCCCTCATATCCCTCACTCCGTCATTATATCCCAGCTCGTATCCTGCCCTCATATCCCTACCATGTTCTATAGTCATATTGGCTTAGCACTTTCTCCTGATAATTATCTGTCAATGCCGGTCGGCCGAGCGGATAGCACGCTGGACTTGTGATCCTGTGGTCCTGGGTTCGATCCCAGGCGCCGGCGAGAAACAATGGGCAGAGTTTCTTTCACCCTATGCCCCTGTTACCTAGCAGTAAAATAGGTACCTGGGTGTTAGTCAGCTGTCACGGGCTGCTTCCTGGGGGTGGAGGCCTGGTCGAGGACCGGGCCGCGGGGACACTAAAAAAAAAGCCCCGAAATCATCTCAAGATAACCTCAAGAATGGGTTATTATTATTATTAACATCTTTATTGACAAAATTAATTACAATTTTGCCTAATCTGAGGATTTCGATTAAGTCTTATTACAGTGAGGATAATGCTGGTATTCACTGTCACGCAGGACAGAGGGTCATACATAAGACCAATGGTTATTATATCGTAAAGAGGACATAACACTTGGGTGCCAGTCTTATGTTTTTCTCTGGACTAGACACATGTACAGCATTGGTTAAATGTTACAATTTGCCACAATGTGACTTCCCTTTAACTTCCTCCTAACATAATTAACTACATCTGCCTAGTACTGGATTCAGATACCGGTACAGCAGGCTCCATATTCCACTTCATACCGCTTATGAGCTTGATATGCTAAATTTTGCCTTAGATATTTATAGATCGTTCATTATAGAAATCCCTAAGAAATCTAACATTTTCAGGCTAGATCCAATTCATCTCACGCCCCATAGACTGCCTGGCGAGCACTATGCATGATTTTCTCCAAAAAGTATAGCTTAAATAAAGTCTACGCACGATACGTTTCCATCTTCTTCTTGAGGTTATCTTGAGATGATTTCGGGGCTTTAGTGTCCCCGCGGCCCGGTCTTCGACCAGGCCTCCACCCCCAGGAAGCAGCCCGTGACAGCTGACTAACACCCAGGTACCTATTTTACTGCTAGGTAACAGGGCATAGGGTGAAAGAAACTCTGCCTATTGTTTCTAGCCGACGCCTGGGATCGAACCCAGGACGACAGGATCACAAGTCCAGTGTGCTGTCCGCTCGGCCGACCGGCTCCCTGACTATAATACATTGTTTGTTGTTGACACATTGTCTTATTTTCTGCAGATGAAAGACCTCGAGTTATGCCTTGAGTCCAGCAGACAGGATCTCAGAAAATTATCTGTCAGAGTTGATTTTTTAAAGAAGTATTATGATGTCACCATGAAGGGCATAACTATTACAACAGGTAAATGGTTATTTATTTACTTATAGTTTTCTTTGTAAGAGGTGTTAGTGGGTTTAAAGGAAAGAGCTACATCTACATCACAGCTACTAATAGCTATATCAGTAACTTTTATTAATTTATTTATTTATATACCTATTTATTTATTTATTTATTTATATACAAGAAGGTACATTGGGTTGAGAGTACAAAACATTGGTGTTATTACAGTCTTGCACAGCCATTAACAGGCACAGCGTTTTGGGCAGGCACTTAACCTAACAGATATAAAGTAAGAGTAATTAGAAGGTAGATTGTAGCAGAATTTTTATTTCAACATAAGATACATTAAAAATTGATTGAATTAATTATACTGTTGATGCTGCATGCCTTAAGTACTGTAATAATACTGGGGAAGTAGGTAGCACAAGATACAGTGTGAGTTATACTGTTGATGCTGCATGCCTTAAGTACTGTAATAATACTGGGGAAGTGGGTAGCACAAGATACAGTGTGAGTTATACTGGTGATGCTGCATGCCTTAAGTACTGTAACAATACTGGGGAAGTGGGTAGCACAAGATACAGTGTGAGTTATACTGTTGATGCTGCATGCCTTAAGTACTGTAATAATACTGGGGAAGTGGGTAGCACAAGATACAGTGTGAGTTATACTGGTGATGCTGCATGCCTTAAGTACTGTAATAATACTGGGGAAGTGGGTAGCACAAGATACAGTGTGAGTTATACTGTTGATGCTGCATGCCTTAAGTACTGTAACAATACTGGGGAAGTGGGTAGCACAAGATACAGTGTGAGTTATACTGGTGATGCTGCATGCCTTAAGTACTGTAACAATACTGGGGAAGTGGGTAGCACAAGATACAGTGTGAGTTATACTGTTGATGCTGCATGCCTTAAGTACTGTAATAATACTGGGGAAGTGGGTAGCACAAGATACAGTGTGAGTTATACTGTTGATGCTGCATGCCTTAAGTACTGTAACAATACTGGGGAAGTGGGTAGCACAAGATACAGTGTGAGTTATACTGTTGATGCTGCATGCCTTAAGTACTGTAATAATACTGGGGAAGTGGGTAGCACAAGATACAGTGTGAGTTATACTGGTGATGCTGCATGCCTTAAGTACTGTAACAATACTGGGGAAGTGGGTAGCACAAGATACAGTGTGAGTTATACTGTTGATGCTGCATGCCTTAAGTACTGTAATAATACTGGGGAAGTGGGTAGCACAAGATACAGTGTGAGTTATACTGGTGATGCTGCATGCCTTAAGTACTGTAATAATACTGGGGAAGTGGGTAGCACAAGATACAGTGTGAGTTTGAAGAACAAGGTAGGAAACTATGTGGAGGTAATTAGGCACTTCTTGGTTTTACATTTAAATAAAGTATAGGTTGGACAGTTTTTTAATTCATTATGGAGTGAGTTCCATAAACTAAGTCCTTTTATTTGCATGGAGTGTTTGCACAGTTTTAATCTGACTAGGGATATCTAAAAGATATTTATATCTGGTGTGGTTGTTCTTGAGTTCTGGGAGCCACTTAGTGGCATGTCTTTGCACCTCTTCCAGTTTGTTGATGTGCTTCTTAAGATATGGGCACCATACATCCGCTGCATATTCCAGCTTTGGTCTAATAAAAGTCGTGAACAATTTCTTTAGTATTTCTCCATCCATGTACTTAAAAGCAATTCTGAAGTTAGAAAGTGTAGCACAGGCTCCTTGCACAATATTCTGAATGTGGTCCTCAGGTGACAGTTTTCTATCTAGAACCATCCCTAGATCCCTTTCTTTGTCAGAATTATTTAAAGATTTCTCACATAATATATAGGTTGTGTGGGGTCTTATGTTCTCCAATTCCACATTCCATAACATGGCATTTATTCACATTAAATTCCATATGCCAAGTGTTGTTCCATCTACTTATTTTGTCCAGGTCTTCTTAAAGGGCATGACAATCATCTAGGTTTCTTATCTTCCCTATTATCTTACCATCATCAGCAAACATGTTCATATAATTCTGTATTCCAACTGGTAGATCGTTTATGTAGACAATGCACATTACCGGTGCAAGAACTGAACCCTGAGGTACTCCACTTGTGACATTCCTCCAATCCGATACACTGCCTCTGATTACGGCCCTCAATTTTCTGTCAGTTAGGAAATTTTTTATCCATCATTTTAGAAGCTTACCTGTCATCCCTCCAATAAGTTCCAGTTTCCAGAACAACCTCTTATGTGGAACTCTGTCAAAAGCCTTTTTAAGTCCAGATAGATGCAGTCAACCCAACCATTTCTTTCCTGTAAAATCTCTGTGGTTCGATCATAGAAACAGAGTAAATTCGTTACACAGGATCTTCCAGAACGAAAACCATACTATCTGATATTATATCGTTTTTCGCCAGGTGTTCTACCAATTTAGTTTTAATTATGTTTCCAACATTTTGACTATTACACTTGTCAATGATACAGGTCTATAACTGAGGGGTCTTCCCTGCTGCCACTGTTGTAGATTGGAACTGTTAGCCTTTTTCCACACATCTGCTACGACTCCTGTACACAGGGATGCCTGAAAAATCAGTTGAAGTTGAATGCTGAGCTCAGGTGCACATTCTCTCAGAACCCATGGTGAAACTCCATCTGGACCAACTGCCTTGTTCTTACTTAGCTCCTTGAGCATTTTTTCCACTTTGTCTCTAGACACCTCTATGTGTTCTATGTATTCTATGTTGTTCTCTGGAATTCTTATTGTGTCTTGTTCTCTGAAGATTTCATTTTGTACAAACACACTGGAACTTTTCGTTTAATGTTTCACACATTTCCTTTTCATTTTCCGTGAATCTGTTTCCCATTTTCAACCTCTGAATATTATCCTTTACCTGCAATTTGTTGTTTATGAATTTATAGAATAGACCTGGTTCTGTTTTACATTTGTCTGCAATCCCTTTATCAAAATTTCTTTTTGCCTCTCTACTCACTGACGTGTAGTTGTTTCTCGCATCTTTGTATCGCTGGTATGTCTGGGGGTTTGGCCTCTTCCTGTATTGATTCCATTTTTGTGTCTTTTGGTCTCTGGCCCTCTCGCAATTTCTGTCGAACTAATCCTGTTCCATAGTTCTGCATCTCTGCTTTGGTATAAATTTTTTGTGCCTTTATCATATATTTCACAAAACTTGACATACATCTCATTTACTTCATGTCCTAACAGCAAGTCTTTCCAAGACGTGTGTGTGTAGTGTGTAGGTTGGGTATTTGTGGTGTAGTGTGTGGGGGTTGGGGTTTGAGTAAATAAAGGTAGTATCGTCAGTAAAAAAAGTATAGGTTTAACAATATTAGAGACATTAGGCAAGTCATTGATGTATATAAGAAATAGAGATTCTAAGATCCAGCCCTGTGGCACCCCTACGGTTAATGGTAGTGGGAGGAGGTTATCTCATTGGTGGCTATATATTGGTGTCGGTCACTAAGATAAGATCGAATATAATTCAGAGCAAGGCCTCAGATTCCATGGTGGTGAGGTTTAAGAGGTTGTTATGGTAACTGATTACCGTTTACTATGCAACGATTAATGTTATAAAGTAATCATCTTCATAAATGTTGAAAATGTTTTTGAACATTTTGGAAAATCACCAGCATTATATGTTGTCATCACCTATATTTATACATTCACGTGAGGCAGGCAGAAAATTCTCTCATGTGTGTATTTAGGCTTTGAAATTGTTTTTCAGTGAAAAAGTGGTGTGATGGCTTGTTAATTAACTCTTTATGTTAATTTTACTATTTATCATTTAATATTTAATAATTTACTATTTTGAACACTTAAACAGGTCACTTGGAATTTCTGAAAAGAAAATTGGATAAGGAAGGAGACGAGGATTTCAAGGAATGGTATGATTTCTTCGAGAGTGAAAAGAAACACTACAAGGAGGGTGAACATACTGAACACACCAAGGAGGGTGATGATACTGAACACACCAAGGAGGGTGATGATACTGAACACATCGAGGTGGGTGAAGATACTGAACACATCGAGGTGGGTGAAGATACTGAACACATCGAGGTGGGTGAAGATACTGAACACATCGAGGTGGGTGAAGATACTGAACACATCGAAGTGGGTGAAGATACTGAACACATCGAAGTGGGTGAAGATACTGAACACATCGAAGTGGGTGAAGATACTGAACACATCGAAGTGGGTGAACATACTGAACACATCGAAGTGGGTGAAGATACTGAACACATCGAAGTGGGTGAAGATACTGAACACATCGAAGTGGGTGAAGATACTGAACACATCGAAGTGGGTGAAGATACTGAACACATCGAAGTGGGTGAAGATACTGAACACACCAAGGTGGATGATGATACCGAACACTCCATGAATGATGACTCCGAACACACTGAGAGTGATGATACTGAACATACCTCAAGTGATGATTCTTATGATTCTGAATACGCCAAGAACGGTGATGATACTGAGCACACCAAGAATGATGGTACTGAACACAATACGAGTGATGATACTGAACACACCACGAGTGACGAACATGAACACACCACGAGTGATGATACTGAACACACCACGAGTGATGATTCTGTACTCACGAATACTACTGAGCACTCCACAAGTGATGATACTGAAAACACCACGAGTGATGCTACTGAAAACACCATTAGTGATGATACCGAATGCACCATGAGTGGTGATTCTGACTACAGTACGAGTGATGATACTGAATACACCAAGCTTGTTGATACTAAACACACCGAGGTGGGTGATGATATTGAACACACCAAGGTGGGTAGTGATACTGAATACACCATGAAGGGTGATGATACAGAACACACCATGAAGGGTGATGATACAGATCACACCAAGATGGGTGATGATATTGAACACACCAAGGTGGGTGATGATATTGAACACACCAAAATGGTCAATGAGACGGAACACATCAAGGTGGGCGATGATACTGAACAGACCAAGAAGGGTGATGATACAGAACACAAGATGAGTGATGATATTCAACACACCAAGGTTGGTGGTGATAGTGAACACGCCAAGAATGATGATACGGAGCATAGGAAGAATGAATACACTATACACATAATCAGTGATGATACTGAACATACGACGAGTGATGAGTCTGAACACATTAACGAGAGTGATGAGTCTGAGCACCCCAAGTGTGATTATATTAAACACGCCACAAGTGATGCTAAATACACTAAGATTGATGATACTGAACATAACAAGAGTGATGATACTAAACACACCAAGAAGAATGACGATTGTGAACATACCAAGAGTAAGGATTATGAACACACCATGAGTGATTATACTGACCACACTGCAAGTAATGATGAACTCTCCACGAGTGATGGTGATGATGAACTCTCCACGAGTGATGAAAGTGATCACACTAGGAGTGAAGTTGACCACGCCTTGAGTAACGATGCTGAGAGCTCCTCAGACACGTAAGTCCCAAGTACTAGTATCCTGATGAGGTCATTTTCTCTCATTATAGTGTATATGTATATGGAAAAGATCTTTTGTATTTGTAACTGATATTCTACTGCCACCGATGATTTACACATGGGTAAATACCTTGTTGTATCAGTAGATTCACTCTGTCTCACCCAGACAGGAGTAGTGGTGTTGGCGTGTTAGCAGGGATTTTCAAGTTTTGCGTTCCAGTCCTCGCTAATGCGTCAGTAGTTTCAGGGAAAAAAATTTCAGTTTTAGTTCCCGCTTGCAAAATTATTTCAGAGTCTAGTTTTAGGGAAATATTTCAGAGTTCATTTTCAAAGAGTAGTTTATTACGAGTTTGTTAAAGAAATCTTATTAGGAAAATTCAGGGCAAACGTCACTGCTGTACGTGTACTGTACTTGCTGAAATCTTTTGGGGGAAAATTCGATGCTCTGTCACACTGTTGCAAGCAGATTTTTTCAGAGTTCATTTTCAGAGAATAGTTTATTAGGAGTTTGTTAAAGAAATCTTATTAGGGGTCAAAGTTGTCTCTGCGTTCTTAAAGAGTTCTTATGGGGGAAATTCAAATATCTTCAGAGTCTATTTTAAGACAGAATTTTTTCAGAGCCCAGTTTAAGACCGATTTTTTTCAAGTCCAGTTTTGTTAAAAAAAAGAATGTCAAAGCCTATTTTCAGAAAATAGGATTATTGAGAGTTTCTTAAGTAATTCCCAGTACCCGATGCTAGTTCTTGGACCCAGCTCTATACGTTTATAAGGGTAATTTCGCTACTAGTAGCCTAATTTTAGCTCATTTTAAAACAGTCATATTTCAGACGTAGTAAGAAAAGATAATAGAATTACCGAATTCTAGCTCCTGTTTTCACGCCTTAGATCACTCGCAAATTCAATACTATCAGTCCAATTTCCCTGAAATTTAAAACCGCATATTTCTGACATAGTAAATATGGTCAAAGTAAATACCAAGTTTCAGCTCTTGTCCTCTGCCTTAGTTCCCTGTCGTATCTTTGTTAGTATCTACCCAAATCCTCTAAAATTTAAACCCACTATATTTGAGACATAGTAAAATAAATCAAAGTAATTACCGAGCTCCAACTCCTGTCCTCCACCTTAGTTCAATGTTCATCAAACTTAGTTATTCCAGAACATCAGACAAGCTCCCATCTCTCACCTTATCAAGGAAACATAACCTCTGCAGGCGATGAGTCACAATAACGTGGCTCAAGTATGTTGACCAGACCATCACACACTAGAACCAGGTTTTGGGTTAACGTTTCGGTCCAGGACGGACCGTAACGTCGTCGTCCCTTCAACTTCTAGTGTGTGGTCTGGTCAACATAACCTTTCCTTCAATAGGCTTGTTTACTCAGCTGTGTAAATAATCACTTACCAGGTAATGATCACATGGCCATACTCACCTTATCTCTCCTCCGTGCCTCTACACCCTTACGCTCACTCATCTCATACACCCCCCAGCTCCCCCTCATAGTCATTCCTTAATTATACTCTGTCATTCCATACCTAACCTTGAGGTGCTTCCGGGGCTTAGCGTCCCCGCGGCCCGGTCGTCGACCAGGCCTCCTGGTTGCCGGACTGATCAACCAGGCTGTTGGACGCGGCTGCTCGCAGCCTGACGTATGAGTCACAGCCTGGTTGATCAGGTATCCTTTGGAGGTGCTTATCCAGTTCTCTCTTGAACACTGTGAGGGGTCGGCCAGTTATGCCCCTTATGTGTAGTGGAAGCGTGTTGAACAGTCTCGGGCCTCTGATGTTGATAGTTCTCTCTTGAACACTGTGAAGGGTCGGCCAGTTATGCCCCTTATGTGTAGTGGAAGCGTGTTGAACAGTCTCGGACCTCTGATGTTGATAGAGTTCTCTCTCAGAGTACCTGTTGCACCTCTGTTTTTCAACGGGGGTATTCTACACATCCTGCCATGTCTTCTGATCTCACGTGATGTTATTTCTGTGTGCAGGTTTGGGACCAGCCCCTCTAATATTTTCCACGTGTAAATTATTATGTACCTCTGCCGCCTGCGCTCAAGGGAGTACAGTTTTAGGCTCTTTAGTCGGTCCCAATAGTTTAGATGTTTTACTGAGTGGATTCTAGCAGTAAAGGATCTCTGCACGCTCTCCAGGTCAGCAATTTCTCCAGCTTTGAAAGGTGCTGTCATTGTGCAGCAGTACTCCACTCTAGAGAGCACTAGCGTTTTGAAAAGTATCATCATCGGTATAGCATCTCTAGTGTGAAAAGTTCTTGTTATCCAACCTGTCATTTTTCTTGCAATGGTGACGGCTACTTTATTGTGTTCTTTAAAGGTAAGGTCTTCCGACATGAGTACACCCAGATCCTTTACATTGCCTTTTCGTTCTATGTTATGATTTGCCTGAGTTTTGTACGTGGTTTCCGTTTTTATATTTTCATTTTTCCATAGCGCATGAGCTGGAACTTATCTTCGTTAAACACCATATTATTTTCTGTAGCCCATAGAAAGACCTGATCTACATCTGACTGGAGGTTCGCCGTGTCCTCTATGTTGCCTACTCTCATGAAGATCCTAGTGTCATCTGCAAAGGATGATACAGTGCTATAGGTTGTGTTCTTGTCTATGTCCGATAGAGGATGAGAAAAAGTACTGGAGCAAGCACAGTACCCTGGGGGACTGAGCTCTTCACGGTTGATGGGCTGGATTTTATTTTGTTGACTATTACACATTGGGTTCTGTTGATCAGGAAATTGTAGATCCATCTGCCTATTTTTCCGGTAATTCCTTTTGAACGCATTTTATGTGCAATAACACCATGATCACATTTATCAAAAGCTTTTGCGAAATCTGTGTAAATTACATCAGCGTTTTGTTTGTCTTCTATAGCATCTAATGCCATATCATAGTGGTCCAGCAACTGCGACAGACAAGAGCGCCCTGTTCTGAAACCATGTTGTCCGGGGTTATGGAGATGCTGTGATTCCATGTATTTTGTGATCTTACTTCTTAGCACTCTCTCAAAAATGTTTATGATGTGCGATATTAGTGCTATCGGTCTGTAATTTTTTGCCTCTGCCATATTTCCTTCTTTATGAAGTGGTGCTATCTCTGCTGTTTTTAGTATATCAGGAATAACGCCAGTATCTAGGCTTTGTCTCCACAGAATGTGAAGGGTCTGCGATAGTGGTTTTTTACAGTTCTTTATGAATATGGAGTTCCAAGAATCCGGGCTTGCACATGTTCACAGCATGCTCTCTGCAAGTTCAATTCATATTTTTCACCTGTTTCTCCACCTTCTAGCCATTCTCTTTCATGTGCTCTATAAATTCCACTCATGTTCTCCACGTTATCAGAATGTTCTTCACAAGTTCATTGTTCATCCTTCATATACTGCATATTTTTTTCATGTTTTCATATTCCTCGCATGTTCACTGTGTTCATCACATTCTCTTACATATTCTTTAAAATCAAATGTACAATTGTTTCTGTCATTCAGTAATTAGTTCTCTGTCAATTATTATCATCCGCATTACTGTTCCCTCTAACAAATTAGTTAAATTTCATTTAGTTTTCAAATATTTAGTTACAATTTATTTAGAGATTTACAAATCATTTAGTTACACAGTATTTATTTAGTTATTTACTTAGGTTTATTTACAATCAACTATGTCAATGTATTTTTTTTTTCAACTTAATATTTCTTACCGGCACTGTTTAAAAAAATGTTTTTTTCAGTATCAAATTTACTAGGACAATTTTTTCCTAACGTTTCTTAACTAAAATCATTCGTCAGTCAACTGAAAATAGCCAAGTGTAACTTTTTAAATTTGCTTAAATAAAATAACTCGTTCGTTTTAAAAAAAATTTGCCAAAGGATTCTTTCCGACATTGATCTTAACTAAATAACACTTCTCTCAACTCAAAATAGTCAAATAGTCTTTCAATACTTTCGTAACTAGCAATATTACTTCGTGGAGTAAGAAAAATAGTCAGAGATACTCTTCAAGACATCAATAACACACTCAAAGAGATCAAAGACACACTGAGAGTCATTAAGAATACACACAAAGGCATCAATAACACACTCAAAGACATCAAAGACACTCAAGAATCATTAAGAATGCACACAAAGACATTAAAAATACTATTCATGCCATCAAACGTTATACTCAGTCATCACAGTTATTCTCTAAGACATCTTCAAGCATCAAAGAAACTTTTTAAGACATCTTCGAGCATCAAAGAAACTTTTTAAGACGTCTTTGAGCATCAAAGAAACTTTTTAAGACATCTTCGAGCATCAAAGAAACTTTCTAAGACATCTTCAAGCATCAAAGAAACTAAACATCTTCGTACATTTAAAGATTCTTTTAAAGACAGCAAAAATACGTTACGATATAATTTAATTAACAGTTGCACTCTTTAACCTGTCTTTATATAAAATGATCACTCTTTAGAACTTTTGTTGTACATCAAATAATACTCTCACTGTAACGAACATTGTTCTTCATTCAATAAATAAGTAGTCACTAGCATCGTTTTGTAACATGTGTAAACTATAGTTTGTGTTAATCTTACTAAGACAAGATATTTTGTAGTCGCATAACAACTTTAAGTAATATATCAAACTAAACATGTACAATTTTTTTTGTAACGATTCATGGCTTTATGTACTAATAAACTTAGGCGTCATGTAAAAATGAGTAAAATAACTATCTTTTATGTAGTAGTACCAGTTTACTAAAACACTTACAGTCAAAACTTGTTATTAACTTCTAACATGTCACTCACAAAAATACTTCAGTTCTCTGTAACATTTCCATCATTTCAACTTCAATTTCCATCAAATTTCAACTTTACGCAACTTCCATTAAGCAATAGGTTTTCTCTGTCATGTATATTAGTAAGGCAAACGTTTACCAAAGACATATCTTGTAATGAAACTTGTTTATACAATAACTTTTAGTTACATTATATTAGACCTCTGACAAAACTTTCCATCAA